AAAAAAAAAAAAAAAAAAAAAAAAAAAAAAAAAAAAAAAGTGCTTAGGGTACCTAAGGAAGACATGTTGCCAAACACAGGGCAACAGCCTTGTTGAGAAAACAGAAATGGTTCCTCAGGCAACCACTTAGAAGCTATTACTTCACCCAACTACCTTCTCTGGGTGTAAGTTCTGGTACATGTCTTAACAGCCTCAGTCTCCTAACTGAATACATAGGCCAGCAAGCGGCTGGAGGGAAGAGCAGGAGATAAAGGGGAAGGTGGGACAGGAAGAGGGAAAGGGCACCAAAGGGGATGGTAGGAGGGAGGGAACAGAAGGTGTACTCAGCCCCAAGCTCTACCTAGTCCCGCCCAACCCAGCCACTCTGCATGACTCACCATAGTTCATGGGCATTGGATGGATGGGAGGCATCGGCTGTGGGTAGCCAGCAGGGTGACCGTAGCCAGGCTGGGGGTAGGCGGGGTAGGCAGGGTATCCACCTGGCAGGACAGACGGCTGCCCGTAGCCCCCAGGAGGTGGAGGGCCAGGGTACAGAGGGTTACGGTCCTCATAGGGAGGCGGGGCAGTGGGATTGGACATGGCCACTCAAGGGCTGAGGGCAAACCCCAGCTGCTGAGACCTGCAATAGGAAACAAGCAAGCAGTCATGAGTTTTCTTGACCGCCCACTCCGCCCCTGCTCCTTTTTAGGCTGATGTCTCTAGAGCACACATGCCACTCACTGCCCACAGGCCACCACCCCACTGGGCCAGTCCCCGGCTTTTATAACTTCTCACGGCAGCCTTTATCTGGGGCCTTTCCTTTCCTGTGCTGCTCCCTGCTTTCCGGCCACAGGAGAGTAGGAGTGAGGATTAGTCAAGACACCCTGCATCACTGCTGAGCATCAGAACAACAGATGAGAATGGCAGTTGGGAACTCCCTGTGCTCCTTTAAGGAAACCATGTAGTAGTGGCTTGACATCAGAACCAGGGAAGAAGCTGACCGGCCCCTGGCAGAGCTTCCTGGTGAGTCACAGGGCTGGCCAGCTGGGACCCTCTGGAGGGTCAGCCCAGCCCCCATAACAGCTGGCTGGAACAGCAGGCTTGAGAGCCAGATACAGGGTGGAGCTAGGCTAGAAGCTGAGCAGAAAGGAAGAGGAGGAAAACAAGACTGCCACTGTGCCAGAACTGCCAGGCCCCAGAGGGAGGGGTGGGGCAGGCAGGAGACAGGACTTTCGGGTTCCCAGCACAGAGGTAAGTGGCAGGCTGTGCCTGCTGCTCCCTTCACTAGCCTTGCTGGGGAGTAGTCAGTACCCCCCCAGCTCCATGGAAAGGGGTTCTCTGAAATCTTCCCAGCAGCGACGTCAGGGAGGGTCAAGAAAAGCAAGCTGAGGAGTGCGGGCACAGGATAGATTGCCTCCAACAGGAGAGCCCTGCAGCTTGCTGGGAGCTCCAGAGGCACGGGGAGAGGGGGCACTCTTAGTGCTAGCTCACTTAAGTAAGCATCAAGGCCCAGCATAGTAAGGTCCTAGAATCAGCAGCTAGGAGCACAGCCTGAACAGAGCACCTTGGGGTCTTGGTAGATGTCCTTCGTGTAATGCTGTACTCCCTAGGCCTCCTCTATCAGGTTCTTCATAGCCTGTGGGTCCTCTGAGATGGCAGAGGTGAGAATGGAGACAAGCTAAGGAGCTTATTTCCTTCATAGAATGACTGCCTCCCATGTACATCCTGTGACAGTTGGCCCCTGCCCTACAGGGAAGACTCCCAAATCCAGGTCAGCAGCACCCTCAGAGCTGCTGCAGGAAGCAGGAGAGTCCCAGTTCTCTTTCCAGGGCACCCAGCGCAGCTCAGAAATCAGATAGAGGACCGCCACGTCCTCTCTCAGGACAACAGGAGTTATTCACAAGAGAAAGTGGTCAGGATCAAGTAACAGGCCAGGGCTCTGAGCTGGTCACACTGGGAAAGCTGTTCTCTCTAGAGCAAGAATGTGTCCATCCAGAGAGAAGAAAGCATGAGGGTATGAGAAGTGAGCAAGGCAGGGAAGCATGGGAGTCAGGCAGTGAGCAGGGCACAGCATCTGGGGAATGGGATACCCACAGTGGACAGTGAATCTAAGACCAGCCATTGGAACTGGGTAGCAGAGCTCTGAGGCCATGGAACGACAGAGAAATCACAAGCAAGATACAGGCGGCAGGGTCTTTCCTGTCCCAACCTCTGGAGCAAAGGCTTGTTCCCCTAAACCCTATCCCTCCCCTTCCAGGATGTCCTTCTGAGTCCAAAGAAAGGATGGCATCCTGATGGAAGGAAGCAGAGACGAAGCAGGTTGTCTCTGGTATAGATTTTTGCCTGTCACTTCATTATGGCTTCATCTCAGTAACCCAGAGCTATCTGACACCCACCATTGAGGTGGTAGTGTAGGCTGGTGGCTAAACAGTCCCAAAAAGCCACTGTCAGGAAAGGTCCCAACAATACCACCAAGCCATGATGCCACAATGACCTGGCCTTTCACCTTCACAAGATATATGTGAAATGGGGTGGTTCAGTGACCTCAGGGCTGAATGACACCTCTGAGAGCTGACCATGACCCCCAGAAACAGACAATACAGGGCCTGCCTTTTGCTCAGGAGACAGCTGCCCCTCCCTCTTCCTAAGTGAGGGGCTGCAATGACTCACTGCCTGAGTTGGGGCTCCATGGTCTAGACTAGCTCACCTACTGACTCATGGGCCTCCCTCCCGTCTTCCCTTGCCCTGCCCTGTCATGCTTTCGGTCAGAGGAATTTGCCAGTGGACTTGCTTGGTCCCAATATAGTTCTCTAAGTCCTCAGCCACCCGTTTGACCCAGAGGTATTACTATACATCAGTGTCCTCACCTGGAAGATGGGCCCAGCACCAGTAACAGTGCCTCCCAAGGAACTGTAAAAATTAAAAGAGAGGATACACTGAGGGTGCTCAGTAGCTAAGAGCACCAGCTGCTCTTCCAGAGGATCTGGGTTTGATTCCCAGCACCCACACGGCAGCTCGAAACTGTCTGTAACTCCAGTTCCAGGGGATCTGGCACTCTCACAGACACACATGCAGGGAAAACACCGGTGCTCATAAAATAAAAATAAATAAATTGGGGGAAAACCCACACTGAGCTCTTAGAACAATGTCTAACATTAGACATCTAACAATGGCTAATGTTTTCAGCTGTGAGTTTCCTAACTCCTTATAGTAGCCCAGCAGGTGAGTACTGTTATTACAAACACACGCTTAGGAGAATGTTGGCCATGGACACCTCACTAGGTATAATGAAGTCAAGGCTTATCCCCAAGGCTGACTATGGAGTCCTTGAGTCTCTTATTTGAATAGTCCGTCTATCCCAATCTCTCATCCATCCACCATGGCTTTGGCCTCACCTCCTCCAGTGACAATAGCAGGCTTGCACAGAAATGGATGCCCAACCATTCAGCCTCCACCATGGGCCCCAGTCCCATCCATCAGCACAAGGGAGGAGACGCAAAATGTCACCCACCCACTTAAGACAAGCTGATCCTGCCACAATACAATCCTGGCTGTCTGCCCCTGGATACAGGAGAGTAGAATGCTTGCGTTAGTACCAGCCAGGAAGTAGCCAGCCTCTGCCACACCACTGAGTTAGAGTAAGGACACCTGTCAGACCAGCAAAAACCTCTGGAACCCAGAACCCCCGACTTGGCTTCTAAGCAGGCCCCAGTTCCTCCTGGCCTCCATGAGGACCCTACCACTAAGGCTTAGGTTTAGCATTGCCCTAGGGAAAGTGGCCAGCCATTCTCCTAGCCAGACTGAGGCATGGAGCATAGAGATGAAAAAAGGTAGGAGGAAGGACAAGGACAGGAAAAGAGACCAGGAGACAGAGTACAGGTGAGGCATGAAGTCAGGTCCTCTGGGTTCATCAAAGGCTGTGAGGGCCTCACAGTCTCCAGGGCCTACAAAGAACTGAGCATTTTCCCACGCTGAGAAGGCATCCAGCTTCCCTCTGTGTGAACACCACCTTGTGATCAAAGTGTTCTAGACTTTGTCCCTTCCTGGCAGTTCCATGACTCAGCTTGTACCTCTCTCAGGTAATCCAACCCATCTCATAACAGACCCAGAGCCTCTCCCAGACTCAGTCATGGTGGCCGCAGGAGTGTGCATTGAGCCCAAACAGAAGGAATTGTTTTTGGCCAAGGTTTTCAATGTAGAACCTGGGGAAGTGTTCCCCACTAAACCCTGGGTTGTCTCAGGGAGCAAATGCTGTACCTGGCCCAGTGAGGTCGGACTCTGGCTCTCCAAGGCACATGAAATGCTAAGACTCTGGAATCTGTGGAGAAGGCTGAGCTACTGGAGTTACAAGCAAGAGGGTGTGTGTCAGAGGGAAGGACAGAAAAGAGCAGCTGACTGGTCCAGGCAGTTTGCCCTCCTGACTGCCAGGAACCGATGCCCAGACCAGAACGGAAAGAATTGCTCAGTGTGCATCTCAGGAAACCCCACCCACACCCAGGTCTCCATGCCTAGCTCTTCCCTCCATTCTCCCCAAGAAATCACCTCCCACCCTAGCACAAAGCCACCACACAGAGAAGGAAGCAACCAGGAAGCCAGCATCAGCTTCATACTCTTAGGGCGGCCTGACCTCAGGATTAAGAGGTCAGGTTGAGGGGATCTGAACACTGAGTTGTCATCTGGAACCAGGAAACTTAAGAGCTCCAGCTCTTGACAGGTCCTCTTGGCCAAGAATTTGGAACTTCTGGGCCAGGTATGGTACTTGATGCTTCTAATTCTAGCAGAAGCAAGCGGATCTCTGTGAGTCTCAAGGCCAGCCTGGTCTACACAGCAAGTTCCAGGCCAGCCAGGAAATGATTGTGAGACACTGTCTCGGGGGGGGGGGGGTAGTTTTTTTTTGAAGGAATTTAGGACTTTCCTTACCAGCCAGGCCCAGTATCTGAGGATTCAGCAGGAGAGCCACAGGTGTCAGAACAAACCACTCATTCTCCAGTTCCCTCATTAGTTTCTGTTCATACTGCCATTCCGCTACTTTCCTCCCAGGCTCAGGCCACTCCCACCTCCAGATCCCTCTTTCTGGAGCCACAAAACAGAGGGCTGAGTCCTGGGGGAATATGGAAAGGCTCAGCCCAGCAGCTTCTCTGTCACCCTTATCTCTGAAGACAGAATTATATTATAGGGTTGTAATTTCAGAGATCCCAGCCACATCACCAGTCAGGGTGGCCTTGGTGTGCACATAAAGAAAGAGGACCCTGAACTGGAGGCACACACCTTTAATTCCAGCACGCAGGAGGCAGAGGCAGGTGGATCTCTGAATTTGAGACCAGCTTGGTCTACAGAGTGAGGACAGCCAAAGCTACACAGAGAAACTTTGTCTTGAAACCACTCCCCACACACAAAAAGAAAGAGGAAGGAAGGAAGGAAGGAAGGAAGGAAGGAAGGAAGGAAGGAAGGGAAAGAAAAAGAGGACCAGGTATAGTGGCTCAGGCCTTTAATTCTAGCTCCTGGGAGGCAGAGGTAAGCTTATCTCTGTGAGTGAGAGGCCAGCCTGGTCTACATTGGGAATTCCAGGACAGCCAGAGCTGCATAGTAAGACCCTGTCTCCAATAAAAGAAAAGAAAAAGGGGTGGGGAGAGGAAGCAATTATCAGGACTGCTGCCATTTTTGACACAAAGGCCCTATCTACCCTCCTGTGTTTACCTCTCCTGTATCCAAGTTAGGTGGAGAGGCAAGCAGAAGAACAGGACTATTAATCAGACCACAGTGAGAAAAGAAAAGGAAAAAAGAAAAAGAAGAAGAAGAATACAGACAATAGTGGAAAGTCACAGAGGGGTGGAGGAGGGAGCCACCTAAGAGTGGTAAGGTCAGTACTTAGTAAACAGCTGAGTCAAAGGCACCAAGGTATTTGTGATGCTCACAAAAGATCACTCAGCCAATAAAAATGCTAAATTTGAGAGCCAGGAAGTGTGTGGGACACACCTGTAATGCTAGCACTCAGGAGGCTGAAGCAGGATTACTTCAAGTTCAAAGACAGCCCGAGCTACACGCTGAGCACCAGGCCAGCCAGGGCTACAGGGCAAGGGCCTGTCTCAAAACAAATAGTTGAAATTTGTGAGGGGAAGCCAGTTGTGGTGGTGCACACCTGTTATCCCAGCACTCAGGGAAGCAGAGGCAGGTGGATCTCTGTGATTTTGAGTCCAGGACAGACAAGGCTGCACAGAGAAATTTGTCTAAAAAAAAAAAAAAGAGAGAGAGAGAGAAAGAAAGAGGGAAAGAAAAGGAAGGGAGAGAGAGAGAGAGAGAGAGAGAGAGAGAAAGAAAGAAAGAAAGAAAGAAAGAAAGAAAGAAAGAAAGAAAGAAAGAAAGAAAGAAAGAAAAGAAAAGAAATAGGTTTGCAGGGGAATGGGGTTTAGGACTTAAGCGCCCAAGGAAGGCAAACAGCAGAGACGGGTGTAAACTTGATGGCTGATTTTGGGTGCTTGTCTGCCAGGGAAGACACAAGGCACCCTCACCTGGTGAGGGCAGCACAGGGCTGACGGAGAGGTTGTGCAGTGGATGTGGATTCTTTTTCCACCTTCGCCTAAGTCTCCAGTGTAGGAGCAGGGACCTAACTCCTGTCCTGGCATTGGTACTGACTGACTCCAGTGCATGAACTGGGGAAGGTCACTTCCCACTTCCAGACTCTATTTTTACATCTGTTAGAGGGTATACCCTGGGCTGAAAGATCAAAATCCGCTGCAGCCTTGCCAATTTGTTTCCGTATAAACATGCTAATAGAACAGAAAACGTCAGAGCAGAATGACATACACTCCCATCCCACATTTACACACTGGATGCCTCTAGTAATGTGTAGGATACATACAGAGACAGAGGCACAAGGCATGTTCTAGGCAAGAGGGTGGCCATTTAACTCTTACTCTCTCCTAAGATGTTCCCATAAGGCTCCATCTCTTTACAGCCCGTGTGATGTTCAGTGACCCCGACCACCTGTTTATTACACGGGGACCCAATCCTAAGAAAAACCTAAGTCCCTGCCCATCTCCTACAACCCTGTTCTCCCACCAGCCTGCACCTCCTAACAGCTGCACTAAGAACCAGGCAGCAGGTCTAGGTGATCAGCAGGTAAAAGCACTTGCTGCCAAGACCGACAGCCTGAGTTAGATTCCCTAGGACCCACCTTGTAAAAGGAGGGGACCAACTGCCACAAGTTGTCCTCTGACCTTCACATACATGCACTCCCCCTTGCCCACAAATAAGTAACTATAAGTTTTTAAAAAGAACCACGCTTGAGCAGGGCATGGTGGTGTACACCTGTAATCCGAGCACTGGGTCGGCTGAAGCAGAAAGATCACAAGTTCAAGACTATAGCCACAAAGTTCAAGGGTAGGGCCACAAGAGCCTGTGGGTGGGGGACAGACATGCCCTCATTTTCAGGGAGTCAGCTGAGTGCCAGGATCCTCTGGAGGGTCCTCATGAACCCTTAGCTCCATCTGCTACTGGAACCTCCATGATGGGATTTATTGCATGGCATGAAGGAAATCTTCCAGGCAGCACAGAACCAGGAAATAGCATCCCTAAACATCAACCCCATGTCACAGGAAGTGTACTGATCACTTTACGGAAGGGAGTCCCTCCTTCCTCCCTAACCGATGCATTATGTCCACGACAAGTAGAAGCCTGTGGACTTCTGCATCTTGTTCCTACTTCAAAACAAGTCCCAGGCGGGCATGGTGGCACATGTCTTTAATCACAGCACTTGGGAGGTGGAGACAGGCAGATCTTAGTGAGTTTGAGGCCTTCCTGGTCTACAAAGAGAGACCAGAACAGCCAGACAACAAGAGAAACCCTGTCTGGAAAAACCAAACCAACCAAACAACAACAAAAAACTAAAGTCTCAGGTTTTAGCCTAGACTCCCAAAGTCTTAGGTTAGGGCTGGAAGATTCTGTCAAGGTCAGCTCTTCTCCAGCATTCCCAAGAGAACTGAAGGCACTCCGAAGATCTGTATGTCCCTTCAGTGTGGCTGGTTGAGACAAGGTCTCGCTCTGGAGCCCAGGCTGGCTTCAGACCTGCAGCCAGGCTTGCAATCCTCCTTTAGCCTTAGTCTTCTGAGCAGAAGAATGAGGTGCCGTGCCCAATGTTGTTACTGTTTTGGGAGGCAGGGCCTTGCCCTGTAGCCCGGGCTGGTCTGAAGCCCACCACTCTTGCCTCAGTGCCTGGCATGAAAGGTGTGAACCACCACACATTCAGTCCTGGTGCTTCTACTCTTTCTTAAGGGCCATGGTGAGAGGTCTTGGAGTTGGAGGTGCTCTGCTGTAGATGGCTTCTATCCGGGGTTCCCCGATTCTTAGGGAGGAAGATGAGCCAAAGTGCCCATTACCCTAGCCCATGACATGAGCTGTTAGTGCTTGCCTGCTAACCTGTCATTACCTCTCTGATCTGCCCAGTTTTACACAAGCAGCCCTGAAGTCAGACAGGAAATCAGGGCCCTTGAAGCAATGGTCTCATTTCCCTTGAAACTATAAGCCGGCCATGTGCCCACGACTGGAGAGTAAGGAGAAGCAGCAAGTGAAGTGGAGAGAAGTACGGTGGCCTCTTTGTGGCAGACAAGGCAGCCCAGACAAGCACCTGAAGTACGGTGGCCTCTTTGTGGCAGACAAGGCAGCCCAGACAAGCACCTGGCTTGCCCTGCCACCACTGGCCAGGCCAAAGGCACTGGCTTGGAAACCAAAGCTCACCACTGAGATAAATATTTCAGAGTCCCAGAGAACCAGACACCTGACAGACCTTCCATGACAGCTCTCCCCCACTTATCCGGTGTTTAGGGTGCTCAGGTTGACCCCAGCCTCATGGATAACACCCACAGGCCACAGTGGCAGGGGAAGGAGGTCCCCTGGGGTGGGACCTGGAGAAGACAGTTCAGGTTCTAGCTGGCAAAGAGATGTCTCTCCCTCTTGTCCTGGCTCCTTCCCAGTCCTCCAGGACCTGCTTTCCCTTTTCCCATTTCCCTATTTTGTTTTTATTTTCACTCTGACCTAAAGAGGTCATGGGTGTCAGGCATGACAGATTCCACTTGTAATACTCCCAGTACTTGGGAATCTGAGGCAGGTGTATCGCAACAAGTTCAAGGCTGGACTGGGCTACTGAGTGAAACTGTCTCAAAAATAAGAAAAAAGTTCTACTTTTTACCTACTTTCTGGTAGGCTCCTGAACCACAGGAAAGGTTATGAGTAGGAATGGCGCTTCTCTAGACCTAAGGGCTGACCCACTGGCTTCCACCCTAATCACTGTGCCAGGACTTCCTCCTCCCACCCCACCCCCACTTAGATAGATCCTCGTCTTCACCTGTCTGTACCCAGCCTGGAGGCGCCAGGACACGCAGGGGCAGCCCCGGGTAGGTGCCAGGACAGACGCCAGGACAGGCAGGGGCAGCCCTGGGTAGGTGCCAGGACAGACGCCAGGACAGGCAGGGGCAGCCCCCGGTAAGTGCCAGGCCCTGGCTGGCTCCCTACCTCCCACTCCCCACCAGCTGAGGACCATGACAGCCTCCATCTCACTTGCAGCGGGCCACTCTGGGGCCCCAGAGTCCGGGAGACGTCCTGCGACCGACAGGCCACTCAGCCACTGAGAGGGGCACCGTCCAAGATGCTGGTTAGCTCGCGGGTGCGCAACGAACGGGGCTGCGCCATATGCCGGGCCATATGCCCTGCCTAGGCGCTCAGGGAAAGCGAAACTCGCAATGGCTGGAGGAAAGGACCCCACTCTGGCTCCTGCTCACGAACGCAGCCGAGCCGCCAGCCGCGCGCGCCAGAAAAGTTTCGGCTCCCGGGCGCAGCGCCGCCCCAGTCCGATCCCAGTATCCGCCGGCCCCGGTCCCCACCTCCGCCGGCCGCAGCCCCCTCACTTGCCTGCGCCGTTCCGGGCCGGGATATCCACCTGGGCCTCAGAGCGCTGGGAGTCCTGGGCTGGGCCGGGCCGGGCTGGGGCTCCGCGCCCCGCCCCATCTCTCTCCGCGTCCCAGTGGGGAGGAGCCGCCGGACCTCGAGGCCGCCGGAGAGCTCTGGGGTCTGCCCCAGGCCCCAACCACGAGCCAGAGGTGGGTGGTTCACATTTAAAGGAAGCATCGCTGGCTCGCGGGTGAGAACCAACCCCAAACTTATTGAAAAAATAACTTATTTTCACCAATTCCAGACTCCACCCCAGGAGGAAGCAAGGGTAAGGTGTCATCAGCGTCAGTACACCAGCGCTTTGCCCTAGGGGCTTTAGAGTCCTGTAGTCTTAAAAGTTGTGTTTATTGTTTTTTATTGTCTCCTTTTTTAATTCTGGGGGAAAGGGCGATCTCGCTGTATACCTCAGGGTGCCCTCCAGCGCTCTGGCACCCTACCTCAGCCATAGCAATTACTGACCCTGGTTTTAGTTAAATTTCACTGATTTTTTTTTTCTCTCTCCCTCTCTCACTAACTTCAGTACAGCTTTAGGTTAGGCGCACAGCTCAGTGAGACACCAGCTGGTTCATGCCCATCACAGCAAAAACAAACATCAACAAGAGTAGTTTCCGGGGTTCACAATATTGCATCACACGACTGTGTTATATTTACATCGATTTCATTCTATCTAATCATTCTTATGTCGTTAAAAAAACAAAACAAAAAACAAAAATACCTGTGATGAATCTCAGACAGGTCTGTGCTTTTAAGATAAATGCCCTTTCCAAGTTAAAAACTTAAAATATACAAACATAGGCATGAGACTCCGAAGCTCTGCTTGGAACCAGTCGTGTGTCACTTACGTTAGGGAATTTCAATGTTGGGAAGTAAAACTAAAATAACTGTTACCTCAGGTGGTTAAGAGGAGCTAAATATGTGCCCTGGGGTCAGGGAACACCAATTTAGGTTATCCAAAATTTTGTGTTCCAACATGGTAACATTTGATGAAGTGGGTTTTGTTGTTTGTTTTTTTTTTTTTGTGGGGGGGGGTGTTGTGATTTGGTTTGGTTTTTGTCCTAAGGGTCTCACCATGTGAGTCCAGTTGGCTTGGAATTTAATTTGTAGACCAGGCTACCCTGGAGCTCACAGAGACCTGCCTACCTCTGCCTCTTGAGTGATGGGATTAAAGGTATGCACAATCACACTAAGTTTGATGACGTTTTTAAACTGGCAAAACACTCCCCACCAAAAAAAAAAAAAAGTCATAAGTCAAAGCACTTTTTAAGTACTTTGTTGGAAAAACTGAGCAGGCCTTTACCACAAAATGTAGGCATCTCAGCTATAGGACTCAGAGGCTGTCTGATGACACTTAGGCTTTGGGTTGGTATAAAGGTCTCTTCTGTTAGTCACTGGGCATTAGGTTAGACACAGAAGTAGGCAAGGAATGGCTATTTAGGGGGCTGAAGATAACTCAAGATAAACTGTAATTAGGCTCTGGACTGGCAAACATTCCAGCCTCTACGCAGTTGTTGAAGTTCTAATCAGTTAATTGGCCTTCTCAAAGGTTCAGGTGAACACGCAATTTCTTTCTAGGAACTTTCATTCAGCAGATGTAGAAGCAGAGGATTGGGTTTATCATCAGCTACACAACAAGTCTGAGGCCAGCCAGGGCTCTAGAGACCCCCACCTCAAAACAAAATGATTAGGTCTGTGGGCCCACCATCACATATCTGGTCCCTGTGCGACCTCATCCTGGGCTGTACCGCTATACTTCACAAAGGTGTGGTCTTAGGCTCACGTGGCAGTGTATGCTTTGCTATTGCTGGACTGGGGACGTAGCTCTATTTCCCCACCCCTTATCACTCATGAAAAATTCAGCAGAAGCCAGGCTGAGTGACACATACCTAAAATCCCTCTACTCAGAAGGCTGAGGCAGGAGTATCTGAGGTCAGTCCAGGTCTCAAGGTGAGAATCAGCCTCAAGGGGGTTGGCAGGGTGGCTCTGTGGCTAAAGGCACTTACCACCAACCCTGACTACTTGAGATCAGTCTCTAAACCTGTATATCTGAAGGAGAGAACAGCCTCTGCAAATTGTCTGTGGCAACATACACACATTAAATTAATCAGTTATTTAATAAGATTTTAAAAGTTTTTTTTTTTTTTTTTTTAAGTTCAGTTGGCCAGGTGTGGTGGTGTATGCCTTTAATTCCAACATTCAGAAGGCAGAGACAGGTGAATCTTTGTGAATCTGAGGCGAGTCTGGTCTACATAGCAAGTACTGGGCCAGCCAGGGCTACATGGTGAGAAAAGAAAGAGAGAGAGAGAGAGAGAGAGAGAGAAAGAAAGAAAGAAAGAAAGAAAGAAAGAAAGAAAGAAAGAAGAAAGAAAGAAAGAAAGAAGAAAAAAGAAAGAAAGAAAGAATTCAGTAGCAGTTCCATTTTATATGGAGCAGCTGCCTGAGTTGTGTGGTTCCAAAGTCCACTTTCTGCTAAGCACAAAGGCTGCTGGGTAGAATACCCGATGTTTAAAGTGCTTATCTTGTGCTAATAGCCGCAAATCAACATCACCTCTAAATGTTTTTCATGGCTTATTAACACTTTCCCCTTGATTTTTTTTTTTTTTGGGGGGGGGGGGTTCCTCTTTTTTTTTTGTCTGAGACATGACCTCACTATGGAACCCTGGCTGTCCTGTAACTCACTATATAGACAAGCCTGGCCTTGAACTCACAGAGATCCACCTGCCTCTGCCTCCCAAGTACTGGGATTAAAGGCACACAACACCACGACTGGCAACTCTCCTTTTTGAAACTGTTTACAGTTACATGTACTTATTTTGTGTGTGGTTGTGCACATGTGTGGGTGGCTGCTTGCCATATGACACCTCCACTGGCTTCAAGGAGTCGAAGGCTTCCAGCCTTCCAAGTGTTGAGTGCATGTCACCACATCAGGCTCACTTTCACTTTTCGGATTGACAGGGATTACAATGAGAAAGCACAGATAGAAACTGAGTCAGACAGAGGCCAAGCACTCCGGAGCAACTCTAGGCAATCCTACTCCAATTCTTATATCTCCTGGCATGTGTCACCCTCGCCAAGAGCAACACAAGAGCTTGCTAGGTAGGCGAGGCTACCTAGCCAGCTAGCCCCAAGGAGACCTTCCCAGGACTGGGATTCAATCCAGACCCTCTTGCTTTCAGAGCAAGCACTTCACCCTCTGTGCCATCTCCCCTCCCTGGAGTGTCAACTTTACTAACACATCCAAGAGCCTAGTAGGTAAAGCGCTTCCTGCACAAGCGTGAAAACCTGAGTTTGGATCAGCAGCACCCACATGAAAGCCAGATGTAGCGGCACATTCCTGTAACTGCATTGCTGGATATGTGGAGACAGGCCAAAACAGGTCTCAAACAAAAAAGTGTGTGTGTGTGTGTGTGTGTGTGTGTGTGTGTGTGGAGTTATCAGAGGAAGAAGCTGGATATCAACCCACAGGTAAGTAGACCCACCCCAGCACACACAATACAACTGACTGACACACACACACACATACACCACTCACACATGCAGAATGTATATTTATTTGTATAGCAAGGTATAACGTAAATGGAAATTAATAGGAGGACTGGGTTAGCTCCATGGACAACCCCAACCCTTCAGTGTACTCTTAGGTCACACTGCATATAGACCTCCTTTTAGGACTTCTCCTCCCCCCCAAAAAAGAATTCACCAGAGAAAGCACTGTTCTGTTGCTCAATTTTGGTCTCTCCGTTGCTCCTGGGATAGAATCCTAGGTGAGTTTTGCAGCCTGCAAGCAGCACCTTTAATCCCAGCACCCAGGAGGCAGGGACAGGTGGATCTCACTCTGTGAGTTCAAGGCCAACCTGATCTGCATAGAGTTCCAGGACAGCCAAGGTAGACAGAGAGAGATCCTGTCTAATACCTAACACTAGCCACAGCTACATAAGGAAACCAGTGGGGCTTTGACTGTACCCTGCCAGCTTTGAAAAAGCAAGACTCATGGTTAAACACTATTGGTGAGCAGCTAGGTGACCCACATCTGTAAATCCCAGCATAGGGGCAGAGAAGTCTAGGAGTTTAAGGTCATCCTACGCTACATAGCCAGTTCAAGCCTAGACTGGGCTACCTAGCAGACTGTCTCAAACAAAGAAACAAAGACTCAAAAATAACAAGTAATTCTATTTGGCATAAGTATGCCCCCATTGTCTCAGGTAATATTTTGGAACACTTACACTAAAAATAGTATTCGTTGTTTATCTGGAATTCAAACTCACCCTGGTGTCTAGCATTTCTTTGACAATCCCACAATCCTACTTGAACAGAAAGGCAAGTCAGGAAGGGGTGGAGAGTGAGAGATACCAGGCTGAAGTTTATTTCCTGATGGTATGACGGGGAGGGGAGGAGGGAAGGAAAGAAAAAGAAGAAAAATGTTTATTGAGCAATTATTCTGTTCCAGGCAGTGTTGTAGGGTTTGGATATCAAGTGACAGTTTAGGTGAAAATGAACACATCGGAGCAAGGAAACAACAGGCATTTATGTCAAAACTATTTGATAGAAGTAATTCCATCTTGAACAAAAAAGAAAAATCCTCTTAATAAATTATTGGATTTTGCTGCCCATGGTGGTGAATGCCTTTAAAGCTTGTACTCAGGAAGCAGAGACAGGTGGATCTCTATCAGTTTGAGGCTAGCCTAGTCTACAGGACAAGGTTTCAGGACAACCAAGACTACATGGTATGACCTTGTCTCAAAAACAAGACAAATTAGGTTTCATTGAATTTAAAATATAAGATGCATTGATTGTAA